CCAGGGCCCCCGCGGCCGGCCGAGGAGCCCTGAGAAAGGACTGGCTGGGTGCCGTTCCCGCCACCGGCTCGGGCCCAGGCGTGGCAGCTGAGCGGACGGCCAGGCTGCTCCCGGCTCTCCGCTGCGATGGTCTCCAGCCCGCGCGGCGGGTCCTTCGGGTGCGGGCGCTGTGGCCTGGTGGGCTTCAGGCCCCCAGCGTCACGTCAGCACTCCTCGGTCACCAAGTCACTGCCGACCCTCTCGCACCGTGCCCCTGCGACAACCGTCCCCACGAGAGCCGTCTCGGGCAGAGCAGGAGCAGAAGGCCGCCCGGTGCACCTGGCTGGGGGCCCGCGGGGCGTCGTCGGCAGCCTCCCACGCGTCCGTTCTCCGAGCGGCGCTTTAGCGTCACGTGCGCTTCTCCGCCCTGAGAACCACGCCGCACACGCCGCTCGGCCGCCGCCCCAGCCCACCGCCGGCCCAGGAGCGAGGCCTGGCTCCGGGCCGGGAGAGCCCCGACCCTTCAGCCCCAGCAAACGCAGGAGCCGACACCCCACCGCACAGGTTCTGGGGAAACGCTGACCACCCTGTTCCCAGCCTGGTGGGGCCGTGCAGGCCAGGCTGGAGGACACAGGCGGCCGGTCACAGTGCCGGGCAGCAGGCAGAGCTGGCAGCCAGAAGCACCGCTCCCGACACCGTCCAGAACGGCAGAACCTTGCGGACGGCCCTGGGCCTGAAGCGGGGCCCGCGGAGCAGCCCTGCAGGCGGGGACACCGCCGTGGAGCAGGCGCTCAGCGAGACGCCGGAGAGCACGGGGGGTGCGGACGATGGAGCACGCGGACGGAACCCGGGTGTCCGCGCAGGCCAGCAGGCCGCGAGAGCGGTCTGTGTGTGAGGGAAGGGCGGGTGCTGCGTCCGGACGGTGAGGGAGGGCAGGGCGAGGGTCCCGGGTGCGGACCTCAGGCGCCGTGGCGTCTGTGACTCAGTCCTCGGCAAAGGGCTCACGAGACAGGTGGGGGAGAGGCAGACCGGACAGAGGCGAGCAGAGGGGCCGCGGCTGCTGCCGGCCTCCTGCACTCACTGCCCCGGACACACGACAGGCTCTCTCTAAACCCAGGACCCGGCTCGGACGCCGTCGCCCTCGGACGTGTGCGGAACGCTGAGCTCATCTGCTGTGGCTGCGGCTGGACTTCATGGGACCACCCGCCCCCTGGGGCGCGGCCCTGCCCGCCACCCTGAGACTCGGGAGCGAGGGGTGGGGATGGGCGCTGGCCTGCTGGCCTGGACCCCACGCCCTCCTGAGCTGGGCTCCAAACGGACATGATGACAGACGCCTGGGCTTCCGGGCTAAGGCCCCCGAGGGGATGACCTGGGAAGTCGGGCAGTGGAGAGCGCCTCCAGCACCTGGTCCGCGGAGCCGGCCTCTGCCTGGAACCCGCTGCCTTTCTTCTGCCTGCGGATGGCCAGTGAGTTCTGGGAACAGGCTACAGAGACACATTCAGGTCGGGGGCCTTTGAGCAGGCTGACAGCTGACTGATGAGCGGCCGGGGACGACAAAGGGGGCCGTGGGCGGCCGGCATCACACCACCGCTCCCTGGGAAACTAATTGCCCTGGATTGTCCGCCGCACCATTATTTTTCTGGCCATCATCTCCTCTGAATGCCCAAAATGAGCATGAAACAACTCTTTTGACTGGACATAAAAGTTAAATGTCCCAATGTTGATCAAATTAACTTCAGCGCTGTGACAATGGACTGTATTTGTGAGAAAATAATGGGGGGACAAAGGGGTGCTTTGTGCCGAGATTTCACAGTTGTAATGTAAAAACGTTTCTGTTGAACTAGGCCAGGCCCCTCTTAACGGGGAGACAGAAGAGCCCTGTCACTTGTGGAGAAAAGTCTCATTTCTCGGACCCGGCTCCGGGAGGGTCGGGAAGTCGCAGCCCCAGGAAGGGAGCGTGCGGACAGCCGAGGCCCCTGCTGCCAGTGTGACGCCCTGGATGCTCCCGCAAGCCGGGCCGAGTGTCCAGAGCACACCCGCAGGTCCCCGCCATCAGAGCAGAGGGGCCCACAGGCGCCCCGCCACCCTGGAGCCCGCTCACCTGAGCCTCGGCCTGATGCTGAGGGCGTTCGTTTTCTTTTTAAAAGTTTCATAACCAAATTAAAAGTAAAACATTAAAAAATTAAGTTGCACAAAAAACAAAGATTATTCGTAATAAAACCCCCAGAGAGGCCCTAGACTGCTCTCGTAACACTGAAAACCCGTCTCCCCGAGGCCCAGGCTGGGGAGAAGGGCGCTTGGGGCCCGCCTGCGCACAAGGCTGCGGGCCCAGGGCTTGGGGCGTGCACACCTGGCGCTGCTGGGCGATGCAGCCCTTCCGCAGAGTTTGCAGACCCCAGAGAAAAAGTCTGACTCTCCATTTTTCCAACAAGCTTTTTGCTGTGGAGCAATGTTAGGTCTACGGGACAGTTGCAAACGTAGCCCTGGGCGCCTCTCAGTGTCAGCACTGGGCTCCACCGGCGGCCCTGGGGGGGACCTCAGGCTGGGGGGCCACCTCCCCTGGGTCTGACGGGTCCGATGCTACCAGCTGGCGGGAAACTCGGACCCACAGGGCTTCCCGGGGAGACGGAGCAGGCAAGGCAGCCCGGTCCCCGTGTCCACCGCCTACAGACAATGCGCCCCGAGGTTCCCAGAGCGCCTGGGGCGCTGTTGGTGGCAGCGTCCATTCAAAGGGCCGGCCAGGCATTGTCCTGCACTCGGCAGAACAGAATGCAGCCTGCTGGTGGCTGCCAAAAGGTTAGCGGCCCCGACGAAAGGGCGGCCCGGTATTCACACGCCCACAGAGCGGCTCTTTGTGCTGCGCGCAGCCGGATCTGCGGCTGGCCGGGCCCCCCCAGAGGCGGTGCGTGGGAATGCGGAGCCACGGGAAGGGGCCGGAACCGAAGGCTGCAGCCCCCGAGGCTGCAGGGGAACGGCAGCCTGGGCCTGGACACACTCTAATGCCACACCCCTGACAGTCTGGCCAGGGTCCCCAGACCAGCCTGCTCAGGGCCCGCACTCGGCCCTGGCTCTGTGGGAGGTCCCGGGGAGAGTTGTGCAGCCTTCCGGAAGACCGCACACAGCCGTGCCCTGGCCAGGTCCTTGTCCTGGCCACGGGCCGGCCAGCCTGGAGACGGCGGCTGTGCCCACAGCGCCCCAGACTGGTGGCTCCTGGGGAGGCCAGCCCCGGCTGATGCAAGCAACGCCCACCCCAGGAAGGGCCGCCTCCCTGAGCCTGGCGTCAGTGTACACCTGCGGGCTCCGCCGCCTCCTGATGGGGACCCAGGCTCCAAGGTGGCGCTGTCAGGTAGCTGGCCACAGAGTGAGCTCAGGGGGGCGCTTGCGTTTTCGAGTCCCCAGGACGTCAGCACAGACACGGTGACACTGGGGCCTGTCTGCTGGGGGCCCCGGAGCCTGCTGGGTGAGAACGGGTAGCAGAGGACGAGGGGCCCTGCACAGGGACACGGGAGCCCCCATCACAGGTGGTCGTGGGCCGGCACACGGGGCCAAGCAGCGCGGCGGCTTCCTGTGGCCGGGGCCCTAGCTGTGTGGGCAGGTGGAGCGCTCAGGCTTGGGCTCAGGTGCCCTCTGCCCCTCCATCGCCTTGGGTCAGCACCTCTGAGCCCAGCCCAGCCCGGCCCACACCCAGACCCTGAGTCCCCCACTCCTGTCGCCTCTGGGTGGTCCTGGCGGGTGGCAGCAGGGACCTGGGTGCTGAGACAGGGTGCAGGCTCTCACTCAGGACTCCCCGGGAGAAGCAGCATCGCAGCCACAGCTGATGGCAGCACAGGGGGCAGACCCCATCCTCCGGCCCCAGGGAGGGCGCCTCCTGCTGGGAGGGGTCCAGGAGGAAGGAGCCTGCAGGGAGGGGCCTGTGCGCCCCAGGGGAGGCTGGGGCCAGGCAGGAGGGGTCCCAGACGCAGTGCCGGAAAGGGGCTGGCTGGCGACACAGGCCGAAGAGCAGGAGAGCCACAGTCCTCGGCACAGGGATGTGGGCTGGTGTCCCTGTGCAGGGGCAGGGGGCGGACCGGGTCCTGGGGAAGTCTGGGACCGCCAGGCAGAGACAGGGAGACTGCTGTGCTTCGGGGCAGCGGTCCCAAGCCCCGAGCAGATGGCCGCCTGGCACCGAGGTCACAGGGCGCTGGTGGAGAGGGCTCGGGAGCAGGTGAGCAGCCCTGGGACTCGGCGTCTAGAATGAACTCCAGCAAGAGGCCCATCTTCAAACACAGAGGGACCCTGGTCCGCAGACCGAACCCACTAGTCCATCACGTTCGAGGCACCGCCTTTCTTTCCAGGGACAGCCTTCTAGCTCTGACCCTGTGGAAGGTCACACAGACCACCACGGAGTCGGAGGACCCCATGGGGTTCAGGGTAAGAGGGCCCTGAAAAGCCAGCTGCGAGAGGGCGTGGGGAGAGGCTGCTGGGAGCCTGGGCAGGAGCAGGAGGAGCGGCCCCCTTGATTTGAAGACCCCTGAGGCTGCTCCCCACCCCTCGCCAGAGGCGCACAACCCGGGTGAGGGCCCAGGACCCGAGCAGCAGGGCCTGGCAGCTGGACTGGGAGCGGCAGGCTGGGAGAAAGGTGGTGCTCAGCAGCTGGGCCTCACGGCCCAACTGCGCTCAGCTGGGAACACTTGAGGGGCCCAGGGCCCAGGGCCCAGGCCCCCGTCCGGCCGCTCCAGCAGGAGCACCGCTCACGGCCGAGCCCCCCACGTCAGACTGCGAGACGCCCTGCTTGACATCTGCTCCCACCACAGCTCTGGCTGCGGTTTGTCATCTCCGCCACAACAATGAAGAGCAGGCACGAGGCCGCCTGCCCCTGTCCACCTCGGGGGTCCTGCTCGAGCCTCGGCACGGGCCAGGACACGTGTGCGGCGTCGGCGGGTCAACGTCAACGAGTCTCACGTGTTCGGCGAACAGCACAGCAGAAGGGAGAAAGTGTGGCTTGAAAGAGCCAGCCTCGTCCCCCTGGGAGGCACACCTACCTATCGAGCACATAGCCCAGGGCCTTGTGCCGGACCCCTGCGTACACGGAGGGGCTCGTCTCCCACGCGACCAGGTTGGAGGCATCATGGAAAAGGTGGATGTTCACCAAGTCAAAGGCGCTGCAGAGACAGAGGAAGCAGACTTGGTGACAAAGGGCCAGAGCTTCAGGTCCCTAGGCGTGGCCCCTCCAACGTTGCCCCTGCTGGAGTTCCTGGGGGGTGTGGGGCCAGGCCTGGCCGGGGCCCCAGTGGTGGCTGGGGGGCAGAGCCAACCATGCCCCATGCTCCCGTCCTCCTCAGCTGCTCCCAGAGCAGGACGTGCCCACCCAGAGGGTAGGATGTGCCCACCCAGAGGGCAGGTGAGGCCTGAAGTGCCCTCTTCAAACTGCGAGTGCAGATGGCAGAGCTTTCCGTGAGCTGTTGCGAGTGAGCCCGTGAGCCTGAGGAGTCAGAGGGGAGGAGGGCGGGAAGGGGGAAAGGGGGAAGGGAGGGAAGAAGAGCAGGAAGGGGAGGGGAGGGGCCTTGGCTCCCTCAGCACAGCGGGGACGAGCGGTCAGCAGAGACACCTACCAGTCCGCGACGCACCATCTCGTCCGGACGAAGCCCTTGCGTGACCACTTGCACTGAAAAACAAACAGGCCGCGCGGGTGAGCGGGGAAGGAGGAGCCCCTGCCCCCCACACAGGAGCGGAGGCTTCTCCTCAGAGGGCACGCCGTCTTCCAGCTCGGAGGGGCTGAGACGCCCCTGCCCACAGCGCAGTGCAGGGCCCAGCACGAACACGCAGGGCCTCCACCATCGCGGCAGCCCCTTCCCCGATGGGAGAGAAGCTACGAGGAAGCCTCGGCCGGTGACCCGGGCTCCAAGGAGGGCACCCCGGCTGAGCCACAGGACGCCTGAGCCGTGCTGCACAGAGACCTCCCGGGCAGCAGGCGCGTGGCCGGTATGAAGGCCCCCGAGGGAGCTGCCCACACGCGGCGCCTCGGGGGAGTGGGGCTGGACCTGCCGCAGGACAGCCGTCCACACGGGTGGGCAGCGAGCCACAGACCGCAGAGCTGACTCTGCTTCCTCATCCCCACCTCCCTGGGGGGCCTTTGTTGGAGCAGCTGCAACAACAGCCACTGGCTCCCCACCGTCCGTCCTTGCTGGTTCCTGACCTGAGAGGACCGGAGTGGGGGTGAGGCTGCACTGGGTGGGCCCTCACCGCCCTCCACAGCCGTGGGTCAGAGATCCACTGGGAGGGAGTCATGGGCCCCCCGGGGCCACCGAGCACTGGAAATGTCGCCACTCTATCTTAATTAGTATTAACTTAAACAGCAGCACTGAACTGGGTCCCTTCATAGCCTAGGCAGTTGGGGAGTGCGGCTCCTGCCCTTGCAAAGCCCCAGGAGACATAGGGAGGCCTTGCCCAGGCCCAGCCCACAAACTCTGTGTCGGCCAAACGCGTGTAAGCTGGATGCCATGTCCTGTTCCCTCCGGTCCCCTGCAGGAGCCCTGGGCCAGCTGCATGGTACCCTGGCCCGCTGATGCAGTGTCCACAAGGCCTGTGAGCCCCGCCCCCACCCATGTGCCTGATGGGGCCATGCCCAGGGGTCGACAGGCGGCACCCCCGATGCTTACGAGCATGTTCAATCCTCCAGTCAGCCACAGGCTGGCACCTGTGCCCAATGCCCATTTTACTGACCGGAAAACAGTGGAGGTTAAGAACTGTGCAAGGGGGTGAGAGGAGCCAGATTCGGGGACTCAGGTGGCTGGTGCTCTCAGAGTGGACATGGATCAGGACAGATCCCCCTCACCTGGTGAGGCCCACATCTTCTCGTGCCACCGGAGGAAACAGGGACATCTGTCCAGAACAGAGCAGAACAGCCCCTTTACTCAGTAGGGAGAAGGGCCTTGACGAACCTGCTATCGGCTGGCCCCTCCTGGACAGCCAGCACCTTCTCCCCACCCTGGGCACTTCCCTTGCCCCAGTGTGGGAGGCAGGCCCTGGGCAGCAGAGGGTGCTCCTCCCCGGGGACCCTGTAAGGCTCTTCCCAAATCCAGGCTCCCAAGCTCCCAGGAAAGGCCCTGCGCCCGGGGGCCCCAGGGGGCTGCTCCCCCTCCTTCCTGACCCTGCCCCCACATCCCCTCTCCCTCCTCCTTGGACTCTGGACCTAACTGTGGAATGTGGGGACACCTACACCTCAAGGACATAACCTCCAAGCCCCACCACTTCCGGGAAGGAGAGCCGGCCCTGAGACCCCCGCTCACTGGCAAGACGCCTCCCTCCAGCACAGCAGGCCCCAAGGGGTTCTGGAGGGTTCGTTCACTCCTCAGCCTCAGACACAAAGACTTCCAGGACTCCTGTGGCTCCTTCCCGCCCCCCTTCCCCACCTCCTTCACCACCTGACCCGCTGCCTCTTGCGCTCCCCCAGCTCAGGGACAGGGTGACCTTGGCCCACAGCCCACGGAGGAACCTGCAGTCACCTGTAGGCACTCGAGGTGCAGAGCTTGCCCCCTGGGGCGGAGCACAAGTGGGTGGGGCGGAGGCTCCCGTCCAGTCTCTGCACTGAGCTCTCTGGCCATTGGCCACCTTCTGCAACTCCGTCGGGGGCTCCGGGCAGTGGCGGACATGGACAGCAGTGGCTGGGGTGGCCCCCGGCTCTCAGAGAGGCTGTCAGCATGCAGTGAAAGCCACGTCACGCCTGGGCAGGGAGTGCGGGCGGCCACGTCGCCCACCTCACAATATTAAGTCTCTGCTCCGATCCCCTGTTAATAGGATGCCTTTAGGCAGCAGATGGATGGGAACACCGGCGGTTTCATCTACTAAAAGACGGCATAAATCACCGCGAGAAAGGGAGGCTGCGGGAAGGTTACCACCGCACAGCCTTCCCCGTGAAGGGCCCGCTCTGGAGCATTAGTGGAATTAATTCATCTTCCGTAAGAGCCTGGCGCAGCGCTGTGATCTACAGCAACAACCGATTTCTCACCACGGGTGCAGGACGGACGCCCTGGCCCGGCCGACTGCACGGGCCTGCTCTCCGACAACGGCCTCGCTGCGGCGTCTGGAGCGCTGCTCAGAGGCGGCGGCCGCGAGCCACGCGAGCCGGAGCCGCCATAAATCAGCGGGGAGCGCTGTGAGTTTTAGATGCAGGGCTGTAATGATTTGGAACTGCCTCCACCGTGGTAATTACGTTGAGATTACCCTTAAGTGGTGGTAATAGAAGAAAGGGAAATCCGTCTAAACTAATGCCCTCCCCCAAAATGTGTTCAAACGAAGCTGCAGAAGAAGGGGAGCAGGTGGCCAGCTGCAGCCACAGTGCGTGTCTCCAGACACTGGCCCCCTGACCGGGGCACAGGTGCTGGCCAGGGCGGGCCGCCTTCCACGGGAGACACCCGAGCCTAGGGGGGCTGTGCACCTGGAAACACCAGGCCGCTGACAGAACCCGGGAGGTGCCGGTGGTCTCGGTGGGAGTCCGCTTCAGTCCCTCCCGGGGCCGGGGAGGAGCAGGTGGTGCCCTTCTGCTGCACGCCCACCTGTGGGGCGGAGGGGGGGCTGGGGAGAGAGGAGGGCTGCTCTCGCAGGGCGGCAGCAACGGAGCCGAGCCCAGAGGCCTCTCAGTCTGGAGGCGGGGCCCCTGTGCATCATCCCCTGCTTTTCCTCGTCACTTGCAGCAGTTCGACACTTTAGAGTGGCAACGAAAGGAGAAAGTTGCAAAGACACTGAACTGCTTGGGGGCAGGTGTGGGCCCTGTGTCCAGCACTGCCCGCTGCTGCCACGGGATGGCCCTGCCCAGCCCTGCTGCCGGGACTGGGGCATGCCAGCCTCCGGCCACCCCCGTCGGCCCTGCCTTCCCTCCCAGGTGCCCGTGGCCATCGAGGCCACCTCTGGGGAACTTCAGCTGCCCTGGGGGGGTGTTGATGAGCCACTGGGCTAGGGATGGACCCCAGGGTGAGAACGCAGAGCTAGGATGACCCAGGCCCCCGGCCCGGCCTCGAGTGGCCAGTGGTGCATGACCAAGAAAGAGGGCCCTGGGGGCTTCTTGGCCAGTGGGTGTCGGGTCGGGAGAAGGGTCGGGACGCTGGACGTTGCCAAGGGCAACGTGGAACGATGCGAGCTTCTTCCTTGGCCAGCTCCGGGCTGTGCCCCCACCACCCCGGTTCCCCTCCTGCTGGGAAGAGGCCGGGACTCCCTGTGCCGCCGCAGTCGGTCCTGTCCCAGCACCCTCTAGCTCCTACCGCTTGTCCAGGCTCCGGGCACCCTCAGGGGAGGGCCCAGCCAGCTGGGCTCCGGTGTGGGCTTCCAACACGAGAGGGTGGGCCCAGGCTGGGCTGGGGGCCGGGAGCTCAGCATGACCGGCCTCTGACACTGACTTCGTGTCTCTGGACGTCTCCCAGGGGAGTGTGGTCGTATCATCCAGACCGGACGCCACCACAGCCGGTGTTCAGGGAGGGTCCGAGGGGATGCAGAGTCGGCTCTCATCGTGGAAGGCCGAGCACTGAAGCCCCCAGAGCTGTCTAGGCATGTCTTCCTCTATCCCACAGTGAGCAGGGGACAGCGGGGGCCGAGGGCAGTGGGGGCCGAGGGCAGTGGGGGCCGGCCCTCTGACACAGTGTCCCTGGCTCGGGACAGTGGACGAGGAAGCCCTGCCCTGGCGTGACAAGAGGGCCCGTCCTTCACGGGGGCGGCCACCACCTGTCCCTCCAGGCTCAGGTCATAAAGCAAGTTAATAAAGCTGTGGCCTTGCTGAAGGTCTGCCCCCAGCGCAGCAGGGGCTGGGGAGCCATCCGTCCTGGGGCCGAGCAGCCCCCGCGCTGTCACAGGGGCGGGGACGCAGGCCTTCCATCTCAGCCTCAAGGGCTCCCGTCACAGAGTCACACCCAACCACAGCTGAGCAGACGGGAAAGGGCAGGGAGACCAGCTCTGGGCCCACGTGCGACCAGCGGCATGAGACGACGCCGGAGGGCTGGTTCTGAGGCTGCTGACATCCACAGGCCCCGGAGCCGAGCACGTGGTGTGCGGCCGTGTGGAGGTGGCAAGCCTGCACGAAGTGCCCAGCCCGGGAAGGCCCCTCCTGCCCGTGTCTGATCTGCATGCAGCCGCCGCCGCCACCTGGGGACCGTGGACGGCGCCAGGTTCCGGGCTCCAGGCTCTTGGCTGCACCTCTTGCTGGCCGCGCCCAGCACTCTGGGGACATGAATGTGCCCCGCGTGTCTGTGCTGGGCAGGTCCCTGGCCAGAGCGACCCGCTGACACTCCGGGCCCCAAGTGAACTGATCATGATCTGCCTACACCTTTGGGGATGGTTCCTCCGCCATGAAACAGGGACCAGAAAACTGGCCGGTCGCTCTGACCACAAACACAGCGCACCCTCTCTGCACTCAGCTAAGACGGCCCAGAGACCACGTGCGTCCCCGGCCCTCCTGGAAAGAGAGCAGCGGGGTGCGCAGGGTGCGGCGGCAGCAGATGGGAGTCCTCCCACGAATGTGGGCACCCCGTGCCCTGAAGTTCCCTTCCGACGTGACCCCCCCCCACCCCCCGCAAACGAAGTGCTCGGGGAGACGGCGGCCCGCGGGGCCCCCGGGACGCACCTCGGGGAAATAGTCCTGAGGAAACTTCTCCTTCTCCAGCATGGGCGTGCTCTCCAGCGTGTCGGAGTAGATCTCTTTGCCAGTGACTTTTTTATACTTCTTAGCTGGAAAAGAGCAGAAGAACGGTGTGAACAGCCGGGCACTGTGCCCCATCCGGCCAGCCCCACGCCGCAGGGCCCTGTGGGGAGCACGGTGGCCCTGGGGGACCTGATGAGGGGCGCCGACCCGGCAGGCCGGCTGCTCCCGGCGATGCTCATGGCTCGTAAATCGAGACCCACCGCCCGGGATCTGACAGTCCACTTCATTATCCGCTAACAGCTCCCAGCCTGCAGATTTACAGGGGCTAATTGGCATCCTCCGTTAAAACCGTGAATATGTTTAACAGGGCCGTGGAATTACCGTTCGCTCATACCTTAATACAAATTTATTTAATAACATCGATTTCCTCCCCGCATCCAGCCGACATCACTCATGTCCAAGGACGAGGGGTTTTTATGTGAGATGGGGAGGGGAGCACCGCGGGCCGCGCTCCTGGCCGCCTGCCCAGCACCTCCTCACCTCCCGGACAAGGTGCCCTGTTGGGCCGCCCCGCCCCCCAGGCCCTGGGACGACCCCCTGCAGCAGAGAGGGTCCGCCTGGTGCTCTCACAGCCCGGCCGGCGGTGGTCTCTTTCCAGGGGCAGTCTCCCAGCCACGGCGGGGTCTGGGGAGGAAACGTATGCGTGTGCTCCTCACTCGCTCAGGGCTGGGGTCACGGGAGGGCTGCCAGCGTCTCCACGGGACGCTCTGTCGGGGCCCCGGCTGCGCAGGGGCTGCTGCGACCGCCGCGGGGGGCCTCCCGGGCTGCCAGCCCGTGTCACAGGGCCCCCTGCTCCTGGGCCAGGAGTGCCTGGCACGAGGTGGCGTCCCTGGGCTCTGAGGATATCCTCGGAGACCCACAAGGACGAGTGGGGCCGTCCCAGGTCCTGAGGGTCACACTCTGTGCCCCTCGAGTGGCTCGCACCTGCCACCTCGCTCACCCACCCGTGGGGCCGCCCAGGGGGCGGTCAGCAGGACGGAGACAGGACGCAGTGTCTTGGGCAGCGTTTGGTGGAGAGAGAGACCCAGGCAAAAGCACAGCACCAGGGGAGGGGAGTGCGGAGGTGAAGCGGGGCCGGACGCCGGCTGCACGAGACGGACGCTCGGTGGCTCAGGGAACATGGGCGGCGCGGGGGGGACAGAGGGAGCTGCTCGCCACGCTCCGGGCTGTGCCTGCCACGCCGCTGCCCTCTGACCTGTTTCCCAAACCACGGGCATGACCTCGGTGTGTCTGGTTTTGAGGCTGGTCCCCTCCGAATGCCTATCGGGGAGACGGACCGGTTAGCCAGGAGGCTGGTGCAGGGGCAGGCAGGCACAGCGAACAAGTGACCCATCCATAACGCCCGTTTGCACAGGCGGTGGCGCAGAAGTGCATTTAATCACAGGAGCGCTTCTGGGAACCGCCATCCATCTCGGCACACGGACAGCACTTATCAAACACCAGCCCCTCGCAGCGGCATCATGCTTTGGAGGTGGGAGGGAGACCTGCCCGGGTGACTGGACACGGGGTCGGGGTGGACGCCCTGGGGAGGGTTGGCATCTCCCCGGCGACGTGCGGTTCTCCCGCACTCCGGGCCCCCACTGTGCCTCCCCCAGCCCCTTTCCATGGCCTTGCCCCCCAGGAGCACAGAGGACAGAAACAGGGATCCAGACATGTGACATGGAGATGGGACATAGAGTGGACCCACACGTGGGACAGGAATGGATGTGGACAAGGGCACGGGGCTGGGGACAGCCTCACCCGTGGCACAGGGGACACAGAGTTCACGCGTGTGGCTGCAGAGAGAGGCCTGAGTGTGGGGCCAGCAGAGGGGCTGGGATGGCAGGGAAGGAGGCGGCGGTTGCCAGTGCAGGGGCGGTGGCTGTCAGGAGACGGGCACAGCGGCAAGAACGGGAAAGGGAGCCGGGCCTGGGCAGGGCTGAGCCGAGGCCTGTCGGGAGAGCTGAGGGCTGCCCAGGTCCATGAGGCAAATGTGCAGGTGAGGGGTGTCCCTGCTCCTCCCAGATGGTCACCTGCACAGTGTCCTGGCTGAGAGGGTGGCCGAGGGCTCTGGGACCTTGTGGACCTCCCAGCAGCACTGCTCTTCCAGCACCACGAACACATGGGGGCTCACCCCTCACCCCCGGGGAGGGCCCATCTACACCTTGCTCCCTCCTCGAGGGCCCTGCAGCTCACAGCTGGGGTGCGGGTTGCCCGCACCTGAGGATGAGGGAGCATTCCTCCTGAGAGCCTGTTCAGGCACAGGGCTCCTTCTGGCGGAGACTGAGTGGTCACAGTGGCCGCCAGCTCATGCTGCAGAGGGATGTGTGGCTCTGTGACGGATTGCCGGCAGACACCCGCCTCACAGACACCCCAGGCCCCAGTGCGCCAGGTGTGTGCCGTGCAGACGGCCCGCCGAGCGCCATCCCCAGGCAGCGGAGTGTGCACCGGTCTGCAGTGTTCTATGTGAAAGCAGACGGGTGTTGGGGGGCTGCTGTGGGGGGGCTGCTGCATGGGGCGCTGGTGCTTGGGCTGGAAGCTCATTAACTTTAAGGAAAGAGAAAGATTGGGAGGGGTGAGGTGGGAGAGGAGGCCTTCATTCTTTGTTTGAAAACACACTTTAGGACTTCTGGCCAAGATGGAGGCGTAGGTAGACGCACTGTGCCTCCTCGTACAACCAAAACTAAGGACAACAAAAAATTTAGAAACAAAAAACCAACCAGAACAGAGAGAAATGAACTGAACAGAAGTCTGACAACCATTCATCCAGCCCGGTAAGGAGGGGCGGAGTCAGGGGCCGACTGAGGGGGGTCGAGGGGTCCCGGCAGGAAAAAGCGGTGGCTGGCAGAGGCGGGCGCACAGGGTGCAGGAGGCAGTTGGCGGACCCCAGATGCGCAGGGGCAGCTGACGGACCCGGTGGCAGACCCTGGGCGGGGGAGGCAACGAGCAGGCCCAGTGAGGCGCACAAGGCAGCTGGCTGTCCGCAGTCACACATTTGCGTGCAGATAAACCAGGCAAAAACGGGCAGCGACACAGACCACGCAACCCAGGGACCCAGCGCCGGGAAACAAAGCCTAAAGGCACCCACTGAAAATACCTGTGGGGGCTGAGGCCAGGAGAATCTCCCGGCCTCACAGGAGAGCTCCTTTGGGAGACCCACAGAGTCCTAGAAAGTACACAAGCCCACCGGCCCAGGAGCCAGCACCAGAGGGGCCCAAAGTCCTAGAGAGAGTGAGCAGACACCATTGTTCCCTCTCGGACCCCACCCCCACATACAACGTCACAACCCAGCGACTGAGGGGCCCCGCCCTGGTGAACACCTAAGGCTCCGCCCCTCATACGTAACAGGTGCGACCAGACCGAAATGGGCGGGGGGAGAAGATGGCTCAAACAGAATTCAAAGCCCCTCGGCCAGTACTTTTAAGCAAATGAGAGATAGCCAACCTGTCAGATGCACAGTTCAAAGCACTGGTGACCAGGATGCTCACGGCATTGGTTGATTTTTGTTGCAAATTAGATGAAAAAGTGAAGGCTACATAACTGAAATGAAGAAAAATGCACACGGAACCAATAGTGATGGAAAGAAAACTGGGTTTTAAATCAATGGTGTGGACCATAAGGAAGAAAGGAACAACCAAACATAAAAGAATGAAGAAACAAGAATTCAACAAAATGAGGAGAGGCTTAGGAACCTCTAGGACATCTTTAAACGTTCCAATGTCCAAATTGTAGGGGTACCAGAAGGGGAAGAGGAAAAGCAACAGATTGAACATGTATTTCAACAAATAATAAAGGAGAACTTCCCCATTCTGGCAAAGGAAATAGACTTCCAGGAAGTCCAGGAAGCTCAGAGAGTACCAAAGAGGTTGGACCCAAGGAACAACACGCCAAGGCACATCCTAATTACATTAGCCAAGGTAAAAATGAAGGAGAGAATCCTAGAAGCAGCAAGAGATAAGGGGACAGTTACCTACAAAGGAGTTCCTATCAGAACGTCAGCTGATTTCTCAAAAGAGACCTTGTAACAGGGTGCAGCCAAGAGGGGAGCCTCAAATAGGGATCTGTAATAAGATCCAGAAGAGCCTGGAGATAACTGGCTCCACACCACAGGGCCACACCTGCCCAGAATCTGGCAGCTGTAGCCAATTGTGAGAGGAGCCGGCAATGGGGCTTCAGAGGAAGGTTGGCTCTGGGATTTAAACCGAGACGCGGCAGCCATTTGAGGGGGGAGAACCATGCGCAGCCCTGCAAGAGAGAACCCCACAGCTCTAGCAGAGTGGAGACTCCCGCAGCCCTGAGGGAGAGAACCACGCGGCCTTGACGGAGTGGGGACTCCCGTGGTCCGGGGAGAGAGGACCACGTGCCTTTGCCAGAGTAGGGACCCCCGCAGCTTTAGGAGATACGGTACTCTGGACTGGGCAAAGGGGGAAGGAAGGAAGGACTGTGTCTGTTTGTGGGTGCTTTAAGGGACTTTAGGATTTTTGGTGAAGACATTAGGTCCCTACTTTAAGTTTGTATAGCATTAAATAAACGTTTCCTTTCCTTTTCATGAATCTCTGGCATTGAGAGATGTCTTTCCTCTGGTGGCGGACATAACGGACCTGGGGGCTTCTTTATATCGTCTCAGGCCCCCGCCTTGTGTGTTCTGTAACAACCTTGCAGGCAAGAAGGGCCTGGAAAGAAGTATTCCAAGTCATGAAAGGCAAGGACCTACATCCAAGATTGCTCTATCCAGCTAAGCTTTCATTTGGAATGGAAGGGCAGATAAAGTGCTTCTCAGATAAGGCCAAGTTAAAGGAGTTCATCCTCACCAAGCCCTTATTCTATGAAATGTTAAAAGGACTTATCTAAGAAAAAGAAGATAAAAAACATGTATAGTAAAATGACAGCAAACTCACAATTATTAACAACCACACCTAAAACAAAAGCAAACTAAGCGAACGAATAGAACAGGAACAGAACCACTGAAATGGAGATCGCATGGAGGGTTAGCAACAGGGGAGTGGGAGGAGGAGAGAGGAGGAAAAGGTACAGGGAATAAGTAGCA